GCTAAATTTACGCTGATTTTACTATTATATTATATATAAAAAAATGATAAATTTGAAAGGTAAGTACAAGGGGATATAAAAGTATTGACTATCTAATATAATATAAGTGAGATGCATGTTATCATGTCCCTTTCAAATTAAGCTGCAGTTTTATTTTATTTTAAGTTATACGTGATTATTATATAAATGATCAAAATAAAAAATCGTTATTGTATAACATAAAGTTGATCATATAGTCATATAAAAAAAACTTTTTTTATTAATGAAAAAAATTTACTGCAATGCGTCATGAAAAGAAACTTAGTGAAGACTAAAAGAAGCTATTATCACAGCTAAAAATTAGGACACACAAATACTAGGATTTCTGCAATCATAAATTGCTCTCATTCTTCTGTTTAACGTGTTTTGGAGTTATATAAGCTAAAAAGCCTTTTAAAGAAACATTTGGATCAACTATAAATTCTTAACGAAACTGAATGCAAACATCTTAAAGTTTGGTGATTAGGAATAAAAAACCTGTTGTTAAATCCTTTCTCAAATACATTTAAATTTTATAAACAAAATAAATAAACCCATTTCTATACAAATCATTCTAAATGAATTAGCCAAAGAAAATCTCCATTTCTGAATTCCTCGTTTCAGTCCTTTAATTTCTGAAAGTAATAAAAAAAAACATTATATGTGGGCCAGTACTTATAAAAATTGGACAGTAAAAGATTTTAAACAAGTTGTTTAGTCAGATAAGAGTACCTACATATAATTTAGAACTTCAGATTTTAGACGAGTATGACGTAAACCTTCTAAAGAGTTTTATGAAGACTGGATTGCAGTCATGGTCTAAAAGAGCTTTAGTCACATGTTCTGAGAGTATTTTTCTGGGTTAGCTTGGATTCTTTGGTCCTCTTAAAAGGTCACATTACTGAAATTACATACTGTAACGTTTTGGCTAATTATGCCATTCTTACAGTTAAATTTTATGCAAAAAAGATCAAAAAAGGTTTTTTTTTAAAGAAGACAATGCGTCCATACATACCACAAGAATTGCACGTTCATTCTTTACTTCCTCAAATGTTGAGATGCTTTTCTAGCCAGCTTAAAGCCCTGATATCAATCCAATAGAAAATATATAGTCATATATTGTGGTCAAGATCTGTCAATGAGATTATTAGCTATCAAGTATTAGGCAGTTGAAACAGTAGGTTAAGGAGAAGTGGGATGCAGTATTTATAGAATATTACCGTAATTTGATCAAGTCAATGCTGTATCAAGTTCAAGCTGTTCTTGCAGCTAATAGAGAACTAATGAAATATTAATCTGTATTTGATAAAAATAAAAAAAAAATAAAGAATTATTAAGTTAGTTATTTTGTGAAACATTTTACAAAAGTGGCCAATACTTTTTATACCCCTTGTATATAGTTGTCACAAAATCTCAAAAATCACATAATTGACTTGAAGCCACCTTTTGCTGTAGAGGTTCCCATATATAGAATATTCAGAAAATGAATTAGTTACTAGAACTAAAAAATAAGCTTTATTTAAAAATCTCTATTGAAAAAATGATTAGAATAGGCTAAAAATATAAAAATTAAACTGTTAAAGATTGGTGAAAAGTTATTTGATCAGATAAAAATAAATATCTTATATTTAATTTTGATGGATACAATATTATTAAAAAAAGCTAAATGAACCTTTAAAAGACCAACATATTATTCTAATAGTTAAATATAGGAATAATAATCTAAAGCTATTTTATAACTAATAAAGTTGGTAATTTGGTTAAGATTAAAGAATTATGAATATTAATCTTTATTGCAAAATATTAGATAGTTTTTTAACAATACTTTTACAATATAATATGAATAATAATCATATATTTTTCAACAAAATAATAATCTAAAATATACTTACAATAAAAGCTAAAAAATAGTTTCTTGATAATTCTATTACCTTATTAGATTAATCAGCCTAATCTCTTAACCTAAATCCAATTGAAAATTTATAGAATAAGGTTGATAAATATTTACATAATAATTTAAACTTAACTTAAAATATAAATATCTTGTGAAAATTCTAAAATTAATATAGAATAGCATTGAAATTAGCTATTGTAATAAGTTATTTAATACTATATCTAAAAGAGTTAAGGATGTAATTAAGGTCTGCAATGGTTATACTATATGGTAAAAATTAATAAAATTTGTTAATTTATAATAATCAACATATTTTTAGATAAATATTTGATATATAGTATTAATATTTAAAATGGTAAAAAGAAATGCATCAGATAAAGCTGCCAGTTGAAACTATAAATTCCCAAAACTCTAGAACTTAAAATTAATTTCAGTGATTTTAAAGATAAGACAATATTTTAACCTTAATATGAAATATATTTCAAAGTTTTAAGGATATATTTATTAATAAATTATATAAATTTTAGGTAAATTAATAATTATTTTAATAGTCAAATTTTGATTAGCTATTTTAAATTATATGATTTTTTCAGAAATACAGTATAATTATTTTATAATAAAAATGATATTATTTGAGATTATTTGAAAACATTTAAAATAATATTATTTTTTTAATTATTTTTTATTTTATTTTTTTTTTTATTTGTCAAAAAAAGAGAAAATTCTTAAAACACCATTTAAAAAAAGTAAACCTTTTATTTCAAAACTTTTATAAATTGCTAATCTATAAATTCTAAAAATCAATTCCATTAGAAATAACTTGAATGGATTAATCAAATAAGAAATTAATAATAGAATATAAAATTTTCATTAAAATTATAGTAGAATGCTTATAACAATATTCAGCATATAAAAATCATATCCATTCCTAGAAAAAAGAAAAGGAATCTAGTAAATTTACCTTAAAAAATCACTTAAAATCTCTAAAAAAAAAAGAAGAGAAAGTTAGCAAAAGAATTAAACCCACTCCTAAAAAAATCTTAAGAATCCTAAGAAAGACTTACAAAGATCCATTTTTAAAATAAAAAAATTAATAAAATTAATAAAAAATAATAAAATCCAACTCCTAAAGGAATCCCAAAGATTTTAAAAAAAACTTACCTTTTATCTGAAGAAGAATAAAATATCCACTCCTAAAAAAAGAAGAAGTTAGTAAAAAAAGAATAAAATCCCCTCTAAAGAAATCTTAAAAACCTCAAAGATGACTTACCTCTTATCTGAAGAAAAAAAAAATCATTCCGCTTTTAAAAAAAGAAGAAATTAGTCAAAAAATGAAATCCACCCAAAAGAAATTTCAAAAGCTTCCAAAGAAAACTTATCTCTTATCTGAAGAAAGAAAGATTGCTCAGCTTCTAAAAAAGAAAAAGAAGTTAGTAAAAAAAAGAACAAAATCCATCCTAAAGAAATTTCAAAAGCTCAAAGAAACTTACTTTTATCTGAAAAAGAATGAAAGATCTACTTTTAAAAAAAGAAGAAGTTTTAAAAAAGAACAAAATTCACTTTCAAAGAAATCTTAAGAGCCCTCAAGGAAGACTTACCTCTATCTGAAAAAAGAAAAAAAGATCCGCTTCTTAAAAAAAAAGAGAAGATTAGTAAAAAAAGAATAAATCCACCTTAAAGAAATCCCAAGAGTTATCAAAGAAAACTTATCTTCTAAAGAATCCTTTGAAAGAAAATATAACTAAAAAAAATTATCCTAAATTCATAAAAAAAAAAATAAAATTAAATAAAATAAAAAATAAAAATAAATAATAAATATAAAAAAGGAAATAAATATACTCTTCTTTTTTATGCTTATATTTTAATTGATCTGTCTTTTTATCTATTCTGTCCATTTGTAATAATTCATAACCAGATAGTTGAGTGTTCATATTAGACAAATATTAGGAAAAGAAAAGGTAAAAATATATGATAAAAAAGTAAATATTAATCGATAATAGATTTTGATCAAATATATAATAGTAAGCTTAATATTTTTCGATTGATTTAAGTAAAGTAAATAAAGAATCAAACTGATAAAGCTTATCTTCTTTATTAGCAGTATCAATAAGTGTATTATAAAACCTAAATCATGGTTGATACTTTTCAGGATCAACAGAATCCATTTTATATTTGTCATTACCAAAACCCTATAATAATTGAAGTTGAATCAAAGCAAGTTATGAATAATAATTAACTTCGCTTACCTTATAACTATACTCACAATTTTATAATTAAATTTTAAACACAATTAGAAAGAAATTAACAGTATACTTACTTTTTACTTATTACTGTTTATCACTTCTTAACAATTAAATGCTTGCTTATACAATATGTTAGACTGCTATTAAATTGATAGCTAGTAAGTCATATATTAAAATTTATGAATAATACTAAAAGTCATAATACCTTTTCTTTATTGTGACTGATTACCTTAAGGTATTTCTATAGAAAGTATATACAGTCAAAGCTGAATATAATGATATTTTTGTTTTATCTAAAAAATATCGGTATATTAATATATCATTATATTAAATTATCTTTATTAAACGATATAATAAAAGAAAAATATATAAATCGATATATATAAATTAATATAAAACAAGTTTTATAATTTAATACTATAATATATGGGACCTTTGCAATAAAAAAAGGGAAAACAGCTGGAAAAAATAAGAAATGAGTTAATGCTAAATCTGAACATATTTTAACCTAAAAATCATATTTGGCATATAAAGTAAAATTGATTTATTCCGGCAGTTTCCCCCTTTCTATTGCAAAGATCCCATATTATCAAGTCAAATATTATTATTACTATTATAATTCATAAATTGTTTTAAACTAATTTGCTTTTTACTATTAAAATTATGTAGCATTACTTGACTTCGTAAAGAATGAATTTCTATAAGATTTTTAATTCAACAGCAAATCCATCAGGTGGATTAGTCAAAAAACTTAAAATATTATTTAAAGCTAATAATGCTGTCATAGTAGAAATAGGTTGAATAGGTACTATTTCTTTATTTTTTTCATTATTATTTTGTGTAGGCTATACTGATTGTATAATATCTTCATCAGTTAAAGTTTCAAGAATAATATTATCATCTATAATAGCAAATTCTTGTGTAACTATTGGATTTTCAAATTCAAGACGATTAATTAATTTTTGTATATTATATAATTCATCAACCCGTTCAAGATCAAGATAAGTATTAATATCATCTATTTCATTTTCAAAGTTTAAATCCTCATCAAATTTAGGAAGAATATCAGTTTTTTGCCAACAATTATAAATTGTTTGTGTAGTAACAACCTTCCATGCATTAGCAGTAAATAAGATTGCATCAAGAATGTTAAGTAAATTAGAAGTCTTATTTAATTCTTGTGCTATATCATATGCTTCTATACGATTTTTTATAAGTAATTTTCTATATTGTGCCTATTAAAAAATATAATATAATTAATAATAAAATTAATAATAAAATAATAATTTATATAATTATCATTATTAAATTAATAAATAAAATAAATTTCAATTATACCTTAAATGAATGTATG